AGAGAGAGAGAGAGAGAGAGAGAGAGAGAGAGAGAGATTGGCATGGCCATTGTGCAAGGCTGGCACGCGTTGATCAATCGGGTCGACCTTTGAAAGGAAAAAAAAAAAATCAAGAGAGAGAGAGAGAGAGATTGGCATGGCCGCTACGCAAGGATGACACGCGTCGATAAACAAAGAGAGAGAGAGAGAGAGAGAGAGAGAGAGAGAGAGAGAGAGAGAGAGAGAGAGAGAGAGAGAGAGAGCACCAACCTTGTTGAAGGTTGCTGCCGACCGGCCCTTCTCCCGCTGCCCGCTGCCACGTCCTGCTGCCACCTGCCGCTGCTGCCCGTTGAGTCGCTGTTCCCGGCGATGGGGGATCGCGCCACCGTGTCCAAGGTTGCTGCCACCGCCCCTGCTCCCTGCTCCCTGTTCCCGCTGCCCGCTGCCGTGTGGAGGAGGACGTCGGCTTCGGAGGTCGACCGCGACGCGAAAGGACCCGGTGGAATGCTGTGTGGCGATTGGGGAGGGGCCTGGGCGGGAGAGTATATCACCCAGCGTTCAAATTCGAACGTTGGGCAAAAAAAAAAATTCTGGCCTCGGCGCGGCTCAAAAAAAAATTTGTCGGCCCTGGTACCATTTTTTTTGAGACCCCCCTGACCGCCTGCAACCCGGCCCCCAACTTCTTTTTTTTTTTTTTACCCCTGTTTTCGGGCATGTGGCGCACGTCGTGCGGGTGCCACTTGCGCGTTGCGCTCTGCGCCGCACGTGCACAAGTGCCGCACACAACGTGCGTCGCAAGTATGATTCAGACCCATCGAGCCTCTGTTCGATGAATGTGTTTGAGTCCTTAGAGGAGCTAGAGGAGGAGTGGTCTAAATCAGACCCACGAGCTTCTTGGACGACATTGGGTAAAGCCCCTAAGAGTGAGATGTTTGTCGGCGAGGTAGTCATCAGCGGCCGCAAGTCCAGGGCCTATTATGACACTTGCTCAACGCGGAACTTCACTAGTCGCGCATGCGTTGAGAGGCTGCGCTTACAGGGGCAAGTGCAGCGCCTGAGTCGACCTGTGGAGTCGACCTGTGCCAACAAACAGCGCATGGTAGTCAATGACTACCTCAAAGAAGTTGAGTGTCTTTTCCCGTATGCGGGAGGGGAACTGAGACATCGTGTCTCGTTCCTAGTCAACGATGATCCCCCAATGGACATTATGTTGGGTATGTACTATCTTTCGGTTGCACAGCCCTAGTTTGACTGGGACCGAAAAGTGGTCAAACACACTTTGCCAGGTGGGGGGGCCACCAGATTACGTAAGTTTAAGGCTAGTAGTCTGATCGAGTCCTACGGATGCATGTGTGCGGCCGCGTTCTAAAAATTATTATAAGCAAAATCCGGAGGAAGGTATGTATCTTGTTTATGTCTCTGCAACAGGCAAGCCAATGAGAATGCCGCCGGAGATAGAGGGAGTTGTCGCTAAATACCTTGATCTATTTGAAGAGCCCAAAGGGGTTGTTGAGAGGGAGGTCGACCACGCGATAAAGATTATCCCAGGATCTAGCATTCCGAAGGGTAGGATCTATCGGATGTCTCCAGGCGAGCTTGATGAGCTTCGCCGACAGCTCAAGGAACTTGTAGAGAAGGGTTGGATCCGGCCGAGTGTCTCCCCTTACGGATCTCCTGTCTTATTTGTACCGAAGAAGGGGGGAACTTTGAGGATGTGCATTGACTATAGGGGCCTCAATGCCATCACTATCAAGAACCGAGAGCCCAACCGCTCATCGATGACTTGTTGGACCGAGTGCAAGGGTGCTGGTACTTCAGTAAGATAGATCTGAAGTCCAGGTACCATCAAATTGCAATACGGCCTGAGGATCAACACAAAACCGCTTTTCAAACCAGGTATGATCTGTACGAGTTTGTGGTGATGCCTTTCGGCCTTTGCAATGCTTCTTGCACCTTTCAGCACGCAATGAACCGGATCTTTCATGACTACCTGGACAACATACTTGTCTTCAGTAGGACTGTCGAGGAGCACCTTGGTCATTTAGACAAAGTCCTTAGTCTCCTTTGACAACACAAGTTCAAGATTAACGGCGAGAAGTGCAAGTTTGGCTGCACCCGTATCTTGTACCTGGGTCATGAGATTTCCGCAGAGGGATTGAAGCCCGATGATGCGAAGGTGGCCAACATTCGTGACTGGCCGCGGCCTCATTCTGTGATTGAGACAAGGTCGTTCTTGGGGATGACCGACTACTACCGCAACTTCGTCAAGAACTGTAGTATAGCGGTTGCTCCTTTGACGGACCTGACCCGCCTTGACACCCCATGGGAGTGGACAGACAGGTGTGCGGCTGCTTTCAGACACTTGAAGCATGCTCTGACACACTATGAGGTCTTGAAACTTCCTGATCCTGACAAGCCGTTTATAATCACCATGGATGCTAGCCAATATGGCATAGGCGCCGTGCTCGTGCAGCAGGAGGGGACAAAGTTGAGGCTTGTTGAGTACATGTCCAAAAAGATGCCTTCTCAGAAGTTGGCTAAGTCCACCTATGAGAAGGAGCTCTATGCGATCTATAAAGCGCTAACCCATTGGAGGCGTTACCTGCTTGGGCGGTTTTTCTACTTCAGGACTGATCATCAGACCCTGAAGTGGATGAGAACCCAACCTGTGCTCTCCGATGCGCTGAAACGTTGGATCGAAGTCATTGAGCAGTATGACTTCGAGCCCCAGTACCTCAAAGGTGAGTACAACAAAGTTGCTGATGCGCTGTCACGTAGCCCAGATTTCTGCGATGCGCTGGTTACTGAGTTTGGGCTTGCGGACGATGTTACTCGCACTTTGGTGGAAGCCTATCGCGAGGACCCGTTTATGGCTAAGATCATACGCAGACTCGAGACGAAGGACAAAACAACTTTTGTTGAGTTTGAGCTGGTCAACGGTCTACTGTTCCTTGAGAAGGCTGGGAATAAACGTCTGTGTGTGCCTAACTGTGAGTCTTTGCGTAGTTTATTTTTAGGCGAGTGTCATGATGCCACAGGACAAGAAGACTGCAGCCAATTTGCTGCAGCAGTTCTGGTGGCCCACGATGATGAGAGATGCCAAGCTGTACGTGGAGACTTGTCAAGTATGTCGGAGGGACAAGCCACGTACACAGGCCCCTCTTGGGCTACTCAAGCCCCTTCCGATTCCGGAAAGGCCCGGTGAGAGCCTGTCCATGGACTTCATGGACACGCTGGTCACCAGCAAGAGTGGAATGAGACACATCTTTGTCATTGTGGATAGGTTTGGTAAATATGCTAGATTAGTGGCAATGCCTAAAACAGCGAAAACGGAGTATGTGATTAGACTCTTCAAGGAGAATGGGGTCAGGGACTTTGGGCTCCTAAGTCTATTGTTAGCAACAGGGATGTCAGATTCACAAGTGAGTTGTGGAAGGCTGCAGCTGCAGAACAGGGTACACAGCTGCAGATGACCTCCGGAACCACTCAGAGGCAAATGGCCAAGCAGAGCAACTGAACCGCGCTGTACATCCTATTACCTGAGAACCAGTCGACTGCTGCACCTGGTACACTAGAGTTTGCAGCAGGCGGTAGAACAGATGCACAGGCCTTTCCCAGAAGGAAAATCAGAGAAACAATCGAACATATTTTTGTGCAATGCCCGGGCGCTGTCTTACTGTGGCGTCGATGGGACTATGTGTGGCAAAGGGTAACAGTCATGGAATGGCCGTGGGATTGGAGGGCGATTCTTTTGGGATACTGGAACCCTCCGCTGATTGAGTTAACTGAGTTCCAACAGAATTTCTTTCATTTGGGAAGGAAAGCGGTCTTGTGGGCGCTGTGGCACAAAAGATGTATCAATGAAATGGAGGGAGTGAAGATTGAGAGTCAAGAGATGGCAGAAACAATCCAACAGTTTGTCCGAAACGGAAATCAGAAGCCAATGGGGCAAGACGAAAATCAAACTCGAGGAATTTTTATAGAAAGCAGATATCAAACAACAAATCCAAAAATTTAATTTGGAATGGCTAGGGGTGGTCTCAGGGGAAAAACTGGGGGTAGTAGTATGGCAGGGAGGGGAAGGGGAACAGGAGTCGTTCAAACGGGATTATCAGATCATCTTTTGCAACTGGTTTGACATCCAGCCAGGAGCTTCCTTTGAGATCACCCGAGTGCTTCACTGAGCCCTTCCCTCCCTCAGCACTTGCATTGGTGGATCTTGAGTGGTTTGGGGGGGGAGGGGAAGGATAGGCTATATAGGATTGGGCTGTGTTAGAAAAGTGTTGAAGGGGGGAGCTAGAATTATCACTCTCATCAGGCGGTCTGAGTTATGACTGAAGAGGCTCTCCTACCTTCAGGACCAATTTTTACCACTTGCTGTAGTTTTTTGAAAAGGAGGGACTAAAGAATAGAGGAAATATAGCAATGGGATGCTGGACCCGGTTTCCAGTACAGGGGTTACTGAAGTTCTCTCTCATGTCAACTTACATATTTTTGCAATGTAAGGGACGCCGGTTTCCAGCAGGTGCAGCTCCCCACCAATAGATGGAGCGACTTAAAAAAAAAAAAAAAAAAACAGATGCACAGGGCACAGGCGGCGATGATAGAGTCTGAGAATAAGCACCGCCGCCCATCTACATTCCAGGTAGGGGACAGAGTCTGGGTTAAGTCCTCAGAACTGGGTCAGGAGCACGGAATCTCCCGCAAGCTCTGGGAGGTTCTAGATATCGTTGGGGATGATCCGGATGGGCCTTCATATGTAGTTCAGATCCCTGGTCCCCTTCGCACTTACCCAGTCTTCCACGCCTCCAAGCTCGCACCTTTCAGGGAAACTGACCAGTTTCCTTCTCGTCGCTCAATGCTGCCCCCAACCATGGATGGAGAGGTCAACATCGACGACATCGTGGATCATGCCAGTTCCAAGACCTACAGGCAGGGGACGTCCTCCGAAACCGAAGCTGCAGTATCGCGTTCGGTTCAGACATCACACTGATCCTAAGGAGGATAGATGGTTTACACGGGAGGAACTGATGTAGACCGCCCCACAAGTGGTTGCCCACTACGAGAAGTTACTACAGAAAGGAAAGCGCCAGATTGAATGAACTTCTCAGAGGACTAGCGAAGTATGGAGGAGGGAATGTGAGGCATAGGGCCTCGATATGCCCTACAGGGCCTTATTTTCAATACAGTCGACCGCCCTAAGTGAACAAAGGCTCGACCGAGGCCTACAGGCCATTTTTGGGTCACCATGCAACTTGGGGAAATTCAGGCAGTTGCGCAGCGCCAGTTGGTTGAGAGCGCCCAGGCCCAGGTTGCCTCTTATGAATGTAGCTGAGGGAGGCCCTGGGCCAGATTCGCAACATGGGCCGAACACAAGCCGCGGGCAGTTGGACATGAGCAACCACCACAGGCCCAGGGCCTGTTTCGTTTGGACTGGGGCTCAGCCTCTCTGGGCCTACCGGAAGCTTCTGGGCAGGGGCCCAGCGCAGCCAGGCTGCACGCAAGCGGGCAGGCCACTTCCATTTAGGAAAGTGCCTGCCCACGCATTCGGCGTTCGGGCACTGGCTGCATGCTTCGCTAATGCTGGCGAGCTAGAAGGAGCAGGCACCCATAGCCGAGCTGCGCTGCTGTATGCTGGATGGGGCGCATGGTGGTCCTTGGGTGCATGTGGCATCTGTGAGTTGGGGATCGAGGTTGTGAGTGATACGAGAGACATACCTGGTGCTTGAGGCGAACGGCATTGGCCGAGATCTGCTCGTACTTCGGGGAGCTGTTGATGTCATCAGCGGCATTGTAGATAGGCTAGATAGGATCTGCCATCTGTAGTCTGGGCGCCGAGCACTAGATAGGATATCGACATTGGTTCCTTGTTGATGATGATGAGAATATTCCAGCATTGTCAATTATGAGCTTTGGTGTGCTCATATTTGATGGAACTCGTGATGCAATTCTGCTATTGGTTCGAGGTCACGACTATCTGGTCTCATGTGTATGATGCTGTTTGATTTCTGAAGTTCGCTATCGCTCATTTTCCTTGCACATGGTTGTCATGACAAGGCAGCAGTCATAGCCTAGGGCGATTGCGATTCTAGAATGATGAGACTGCGAGTGACAACACCAATTTTTTTGTGATAAGATCATAAGAGCTTTGGATGAGGACATTGGGACAGTGATAGACCCAGCAATGTGCAGCACACAGTGACGATGATGTCCACATCTCGCTGAGCCTGCAACAATAGTAATGAGACCGCCAAGTGTACACAACTCTACAGCTTGGGAGCTGTTAGCAGTCTTCCTATACGACTTGCAAATGTGAAACCAGGAGCTAAACGCTCCTTGGTGGACCTGGACCAAACGTTAGACCTGGAACAACGACGTCGAAGACGTGGGTTCAAATCTGGGTAAGGAAGCTTCAAGTGGACTTCGAAACTAAGTGAGGGGGAGGCTGGGAGAAATTGGAGCAAGAACAGCTAACCTAACCTGGAAGAAGATTGGAAGGCCCACAAAAAAAGAGAAAGGGAAAAAGAAATAAAAATCAGGAACCAGGCTCGTGAAGCAGCTGCACCATAAACCGGCAGCTAAAACAGCAGACCTGGAGCAGGCCCTAAACCATGAATTCAAAACAAACCTGGAACAAAGTCTGGACCGGGAAGTAATCCAGCAGACCAGTTAACTGTAGGCCATCTGGCCTAGCGCAGTTGGTACACCCCTTAACTGTTGAAAAACAGACTGTAGTTCAAACAACATTGGAAGCAGACGAGTGAAATACTACAAGATTGAATTACCTAGGGATGGTCAGTTCGATGATAATATCTCAAGGGGACTGCATGGTTCGCTATAGGTTAAGGGAAGATAGGGAGCAGGGTGGTTCTACTGATGAACTAAGGGGACTGCATGGTTCGCTATAGGTTAAGGAGGAACAGAGTTCAGGGAACAGGGAACTTCTATTGATGTTCTAGTGGGTACGGGGAACAATGGTGAGGGAAACAGGGATCTGCTAATGATGTTCTACAGGGTTGTCGAAGTCAGGAAAAATAAAAATGAAAATGTTTGTTCAGGATGCGAAGGCTGGTGT